CATATTTATATGGGCAGGTGAATATCATTTAGATGATTGTTTCTCACTTGTTTTCATATCCGTGGAATCTGTATTTTGTTGTTCCAGGACGATTCTATTACCGTTACTATTAGGTTTATATTACCTCCCCATCTATTAAATGTTAAAAATCACATGTTTGTGATATAATCATGGAATAAAAAACTATTGGAATAATTTCAGGAATTCTCTGGTGTCTCAAATTCTTGACTTTTATCTTTAAACAAAGTGTATTGTTTCTATACCAGTGGAATTATCGAAAGTAAAAGATATAAAAATTGTTGCCATTAATATAAAAGGGTAAATGATTTGATTATTATGAATTCCCATTAGACAAACACTTTGAGGTTCAAAGCAAAGATTGATAAAAGATAGTTTTTCAGAAATAACTAAAAGGCTTTCTTCATTATAAACAGAAATGTATTCTCTTTGTAATTTCCTGGGGTTTTTTAATATTGAAATATAAATTCTGGTGGTGATTTTTAAGACTGATAATAGACACTATAACATGATTTGTCAAACTCCCATATCCATTTGAAAAATCTGGTCCTACTAATCACAAAGACTGACAAAAGCAATTTTTGGTCAATAGTGTCCAAACTTTTTCAAAAACAAAGCTTTGTCAGTTATTAATAAGACTGATATTGTCAATATTTCAATTATTCATACTTTGGTCAATTTTCTATGAAATCATTTAAATTTTGGATAAGGATTTACGTGTGTAGAATGTGTATATCTATCACATACCTTTCCTTGTTGGTCACTTTTTGCAATACTTTGGACACTTTGGACGAAAAATGCTCTTGTCAGTGATTAGTAAGACCTCTAAAATCATGGGGTTTTAGGCACCATTGAAACATTTATAAGAGTGACCAAAAATATCTCAAGAAAATATTCAGACAACAAATGCTATCCAAATAATTTGAAAGCTTATCGACTGATTAAAATGGGTTATCTTAAAGTGTAAAATCAAAAAGAAACCAAAAGTTTCATTAATCATATCTATAATTTTATAGTCTTAGAATGACTTTTCTGTCTTTAATCCCTTCCTTAATGTGCGTATGTATGTATACCGCTATGTATACATGCCATTACATGGTATCCATTTATAATGGAAAGATTTAATATGAAATTTCCTGATGACAAGAGATTGATGAGAGAAAGCGATAGATATCTCTACATATGGCCAGCTAGTTAGACTAAAATATGATGGATTTCTTTATCTTACTGATGTTAGAAATGGCAGACGGCCAGATCAGACATATATCACCACACCTGTTCTCGGATTTATTACACATGTTGACCAGATGTACATTACAACAATCATTATAACAGGAATATTTCAATAAAAATCTTCAACTTTTCTCTACTTATATATCTATAGTTTATTCAATTAATATTCAAACAATCTCAGGGTTTGGGGGTGACACTGAGTTTTGGGTACCAAAATGGCTTGGGTTAGATGAACAATGTAGCTATAGTCATTAACAAGAAAATGATAACAGAAGTGATTGTGTCAGAGAATAAAAAATCCTAAAGAGTGTTTTATCCTTAACTATTATTTCTCCAGAGGCACCTACTGACAAACCTTGAGCTGATTCATGAAAGTAAGACAAATTAAATTTAGATGTTCTCTTTAGTTATATAGTATTCAAACCGCATTCATTTAAAAATAAAAATACACAGTTCCATGAAGAGAGCTAGTAGGAGACTATCTTGAATGTAGCAACGATTTTAATTATGGGGGACCACAACTATCCTTATATGCAACCAAGTTATACACATGTGGATGCCGAAGATACAAAGCAAGCCAGTGGGGATTACTTATCACCCCCCACCCACCCAAGAAGAGTTTGAAAATTAAACTGCTGAAAGCATGTTTTCTGGGCATTTCCATTTATTTTTCTTGTCTGTGCATTTATAGTGCATGAACATGTAGGTACATCTTCAATACAAAGGAAATTAATAAAATTTACCAACAGAATCTGGTGCCATTTTCAATATTTACCACCTTGGTAATCCGATAAAAACAGTATTAATTTTTACTCAATGTCACAAATTTGTAAATAATTTCTGTTTTATTTGGCTAATTATCACATTCATGCTATTTTCATTTCATTTCATGACTTACGTATTAAATACTGTTAAAGTACTTCTTGGAGCAATGATTAATATTTTTATAAAGATAAAAAACTGTTTCAAGATGTAAAAAATAAACTCATTTAAATTGCAAAAATAGTTTTAAATTCCTAAAATATCAGATTCTCCTTGATAACTGTTCCAAAAATAGACACGTGTTTGTTTGAGTGATTTTTGTTTCAGAATTTTGACAATAAAACATGCATGAGGGTTACAAAGAGGATGTGGGTGAGTGTTGGTTGGGGGAGGAGGGATGCGGACGGGGAGAGAGTTTAAGACATATTTATTGCATGAATACAAAAAATATAGATTTGAATGACTAGTAAACACTAGTTTACACAACTCACACATCTGAAAACCTGGATGAAATAGAATGGACCTTAAAGCCAATGTTATCTGAGGTACCAATATCACGTGTTCCAAATCTTGAAATATCTGCTATTGTGGTGCTTTGTGCCAGTGGACCGTTTAAAATATCAATCCCTTCCACCTTTTGGTGTTTTCCAACAACTAATTTGAATATATTGTAAAACATTTTGCATTGTTTGTAATAATATTAACAACATGGGTTTCTGTTGTAAAACATTTTGCATTGTTTGTAATAATATTAACAATATGGCTTTCTGTAAGTCTTTTTTTCCCAAAAAAACATCAGCACATTATAGTTTTATATCTATAATGAAATCTACTTCTTATAGTTTGACAAACAATCAATGATGTACTGAAACAATTTCTGAATTTTGTCAGAAAAATTTTATGTATGAAAGACAAAGGAAAAATACCAAAATAAACATCACATAAAATTAATCGAGGGTGTATATACAGTAATGTGATTTTCATGACTGGTTTCTAATATAAGACTTCTTGTCAAAAAAATGAAATCGCAGAGGAAAACGGTTTTCTTTAAAAGGTCGAGATTTTGTGCCCAGTTGCTCTACCTAGGTTTTAATGGAGAAAATACCTGGTTCGAGTTGCCAACATGTTTGAAAAAAAGCAAATCACGATGTAACTATAAACAAACATGGTAACATGTTGTTAAGATCACATGTTTCTTATGTAAAGACGTTAAATAACTAAATGTGGTATGGATACACTCAAAACATATCAAAAACACACAATCTCCAAAACATAAAACATTGTCAGTAATCTTCTTTAAAAATGAAAAATAAAATCATAATAGTTAAACATACATTATGCAAGAGGTAAATCTGCCTATTGTAGGTCTTTCTTTAGGCCTGACATGTTATCTAAATTATTAATTAGACATTAATTAACTTATTCAGACCGTAATTAACTCTCGATGGCATCGGAAGCCTGCCATGTTTATTGGATTAGGTTCTGATTTGCTGTTCGACTTCCATTCATAATTGAATTAATAAATGGATAATCGAGAATATATCCTACCGACTTTAGTAATGATGATCGAGGCTAGGCGGAAAATTCAATCGCTAAAATCTAGGTTCATAGTGGATTAATTTGACTGAAATTTTCAGCAAATTCCCTTTACAGTATCTAGATTTTAACCATTATAGTGAGAACTGTCAGCTCTTAATCTAATCTCCCATAATGTATCTTTATTAATGAACTCCTAACCATGTAAAAGTAACAGCATTTTTCTTAAGTTAAAGCTTCTGATTGCAATTTGCATTTCTCGGTGACATTCAATATTTTATCGCTTGTACTAAAATTGAGTATTTAAAATTTGATTAAGAAAACAGAACAGTAAATTAGATCCTGACTTAAATTCACTCTGATTAAAAATAGACCCATTAAAAGATTTTACCATCGTGTGTAGGTGGCACTGGTTTGTTATTATTGTATGCAGAGAACAATGAATGTTAGGACATTTTCAATTTATCATATCTTTGTAAACACTAAAAATATCTAAATCATTATTGTATTACATTCCTTTTAGGGGTGCCATGGTGGCGCAGTGGGTAGAACATTGGCTCGCTAGCCTGGAGGTCCTGTGTTCTATCCTTGCGTTGGCCGAGAAAGTTCCTCAGGATTTTCCGGTGTGGTTCCCCTTGATGGAGGGCCTGGCAAGGGATAATGTATAGTCATTTGGATGGGATGAAAAACCAAGGTCCTGTGTACACATTGATGTACAAGTAAAAGAAACCTTGACAGTTTGAATTCGAAATAAGAGAAACCCATAACACCGCTGTCCAGGGAGAGAAACCCATAACACCACTGTCCAGGGAGAACAGGTAACATTCAACTTAAAAACACAAAATACCAAAAATCCTTACGAAAAACTTCAAAATAATGTTTGGGAGCGACATAAACAAAATGACAAAGGTTCTTGAACAAAAATATCTGAAGAAAACAGTAGTGGGAGAAGTTTGTCTCAGATATTTGAAAGAAAAGTCTAAAATAAAGTCTGGTAGTACAGGGTCGGACATGAAGTCTATTTTATTAGAACAGAACAACACTTTTGTAATCATTCTGTATTTTATCTTGCAGAAAAAAAATTTATAGCTGTGTCCACACCCTCTATATGAACACCAAGCCAATGTTACAAGTCTTAAGAAGTTTTCTCTGTTGGAGGTTAAATAAGTACAGACTGTATAAGTAACAGCAGCTTGTCTTTTTGTTTAATGAAATACATATGGACTAAAAAAACAGAATTTAAACTACCTCACAAATACAAATATTCACAATTGTCTTGTGTTCATAACTTTCACTAACTCATATAAATATTCCAAGAATTCCCAAATACAAGCCTGATTGACTTGTCACAGACTTGTACATGCTATGACCACTGTACAGGTGTAACAGCCATTTAAATTTCAAGTTATATCATTTTAATGCGCAAAGATGATAAAAAATAATATACACACCTGCACCAAAAGCAAAGAAGAAACTTTTATCAGGATATTTCTCTAATAAATGTATCACCCTTTCCGTCATTCGTTGATTTCGTTTATCTATCAGTTCATTACGAAAATATTCATCTATATTTTTTGCCGTTCGCAAATCTTGAGGTGGAAGCGAGGTATTTACTAGATTTGGCACCTGGGCTGTATCATGATTAAATATTATAGAGTTCAAATCTCCACAATTATAATGTGTTATTAAATCATCTGTGGTATATGGCATCGTTTCTTTCCCCTGTCGATAAAATTCATGTTGCCACAAGGTCTGATTTAACGCAAACACAACCTGAAATAGAGAGAACATTTTTTTTTTTGTCATATCTAATAAAATTTTAATAGGCAAGTATAAAACTCATTATATAAACTGAAAATAAAATGAAATCAAGATATATTTTGGTGAATAAAATTTTAAACCAGTATAAACTCATCATTTTATAAACTGAAAAATAAATGAAACGTTTTAAAGGGGAATTTCCAGATATATATCAGTGAATGAAATGTTAAACTCATTATAATTAACTGTTTTTATTATCTGAAAATAAAATGAAAGGGGAATACCAGATTTATTTCAGTGAAAACTTTTTTAAACAAGTATAATTAAGTCATTTTATAACCTGAAAATAAAATATAATATGGTTTCAAAGGGGAAATGAAATAAAAATTGCTTGTGCATATGGGTCTTTAGCAGTAAGAAGAATCTGGAGGAAACCTTTCATGCAACTATCTCAACGTCCATTTGTCAGATGGAGTTGGAGAGATGGATCTTGACTATTATCACATCCTGTCTGGATAAATTTGTCTATAATTTGTACAGTGGCAACTTATTTTTGTTTTACACTATATTGCTGCATTCTTAATATCTCTTGGCAAGTTTTACGAACAGTATCAGATAGACACATTTGTCAGGTCACTCAATGAAAGCAGAGACCAGCATTCTAAAACACTGTTCTGGCCATCATTTTCAATCAGCTAATTTTTTTAGGCTGAAACTTCTGGTTTTTGATTGTGTTAAACTACCTTCTCCTTTAATAGTTAGTATGCAGATTTTCTTTATTCAGATATCATATGTTTCAAGTGCAGTATGATCTCAAAAGGGAAGCATTTTTTCCCATTACAATGTGTATGAATAACTATAGATTTTTAAGCTAATCAAGTTTTCAGAACCATGAGTAGGGTATGTCAGCTATTAAGATGATCAGTCTTTGGTTTGTAGAAAAAAAAATCAACCTTTTTCTAAACTTTCCCCCCTCCAGAATGTCCTAAAATCATCCAAATTCACCGACTGATTCAATTTGGCAGGTGTGTATATCTTATAAATAATCACCATTTTATTTACTTTAGAGCGCAATCTTTTCTCTTATCATAGCATGTAACCGTTTTCTCTCCCACATTTATTATATATTTGATCAAATTATTTTTCCATTAATGAAACCAACATGCTTATTTAATCTTTATAAGACTGGTGAAGTTAATGTACATGTAGAATAAAGCGGATCATACATATTAACTCTCTACAGGGTGTAGATCAAAAAGCCTGTTATATACGCAAGTGATGGGTTTGGCCTTATGGTAGGGCCACCTCACCTGTCTGTCCTCATGGGTGTTCTCTTGATATTCTGGTTTCATGCCACTCCTAAAGACACTTGTCCACAAATAAATTATTGAATGAATGAAAGAGGGTTTAAAGTAATTTAAAGTCAGACTTTTCTGCACGAACCGGGCTTAATGAGAGAAATTTTGCACAGACGGTAATTGAATTGTAACTTTCAAGTTTTTTTTTAAGTACACAAGACCTTGTTTTTTTGTACCATCCGAATAACTAGACACTGTTCCTTGCCTGGACTGTACTGCACCACTGACAAAGAAAATACCAGAGAATGTTTGTTAGTCCTGAAACATTAACTACCATTTCTTTCTCTCTTAGTCTTATAATGATTTTGAGTTTCTATGCTTGAGCAAGGTTTTGTAATTTGTAGTCTATAAATTTATGAGATGACTCCACATTATCACTCCATGTAGCTACAGAAGTAGCTCCAGTGACAAGGCGACAATACCTTATTATCTTAGAATACCAAATACCATTTTTCATTTATATTGGAATTTCACATAGACATTAAAATATATGGCAGTACCTCTTTTATATACTTTATGTTAATTAGTGTTATCAACCTGTTATGTGGCAATATCTATAGCTTTAAAAACATTGTTAACACTTCAATACAACTTCAAAGGAAACTATTTACAGAATATTAGCTAATTTAGTTCCAAATTCTAATTCAATGAAAAAAACTTTCAAAATATAGTAAATCTAATTTTAATCTTCAAATGAAAACTTTCATCAATCCATAAAACAACAAATCATATATTAAAAGAAACTGTTTTGGTGTTAATAGGTTGAGATTAAGGGGACCATCCAAATCTCCTAACAATTTGAATATTTAAGAGATGCATTATGTAAGATTTAAATATAAAGAACTAGCCATTCTTGCTGTAATAGTTCAAAAATAGATAACGAAAAATTATTACATATATTTAGAATTTTGGTCAAATGACTTTATTCTGATCAAAGTTATGAGTGTTTCAAGTTTTGACATAAGAAATAGCCGATTGTCAAAAGTACCATTGCCACGATAACAAACGAAGTCTCGACTCTCAATCCTTATTATTGAGTGACGTCCATTTTAATGTTACATGTAAATGATTATATGGCAGACATTGTCTAATCTACTTAATTTCTCAGCTATTATATGTTTGCATCACTAACAATCATTTGGCTATATGCAAGTATTTATATCTAAGAACCAATATAGCTTACTAAAGTGATCAAGTTACTGCTGACCGATAGCTTATGGCAAAATCTACTGACAGTGTAATCAATCTATCTTAAATTAAAATAAAGTGGTGTAATAATTTCTTACTGAGATGGATGAACGAATCAGATATTGCCTTCTTCAAGTTAAATTACCATTAGGGTCTATCTAGTCGTATTACACCATCTTTGAACAGCTCAACTAAATGAGATCAATTTATCGTAATAAGATCTAATTTGGTACGATACTAATCGCTCTTCTTCTCTCGAACCAATCTATTTGTGTAAAACATTGTACATGTATTGAAACAATCTATTACATAAAGGTTGTCTTTCCTTGGTCAAATCCATTGAGTATGTCATTGTAGGTTAGCCTACTGCTGGACATGGGTTTGTTCATTTACAAAACTTAATACTTTTTTTTATACATACCATAATACTATCAAAATTTCAGTGGCATAAAATGAAATGAAACAGAGTTTAACATCTTATTTTTTGGCAACATTTTATTTTTCTGCAAGTAAAATTTTGCCCCTACAGCAGCACAATGTCCTACCCTTATTTTGATTTCCAACTTTAGGGATCCTTAACGTGCAGCCAATGCTATAATACACACACCGTTGGTTTTCTGTGTCATTTGCACAACTAAACACATTTCCTTGCCAGGTCCTATGTCCTGTACCACAGACAAGGGGGAAACCAGGCTGGAAAAACCCTAATGAATGCACAGAATAATAATGTGAACTGCATTTCAGTTTGAGTGAAGTCTGTTGTAGGTGTGTTAAGTGTCTTAAATTGCAGCGGTAAGAAAGAGGAGGACCTGGAGAAAACTGGCAAGGTTGGACAAGGTTGGACCCTACTCCTTGTCACGTACAAGCCAGGAATCGAAACCACACCACTTGACTCAATGACAGACCTTATGATGCAAGGCGCATGTGTTAACCACTCGGCCACCCACCCCCTCACAACCGAAAGAACAAAATTAGATTTTTTCTATACAAGACTGTAAGACCACACCGAAATAAAATACCTTTCATTTATACAAATAAATAAACCCGTTCTTAATATTTTATAATAACTGAATAATTCCAAAATAAACATAACAGAAACACTCCATATTGCAAAAAGGAATTCATAACTCTTCCTCCTCATATTGTAAAAATATTTCTCATTCTCTCATTTTTCCTAAAATAACTTTTTGAAACTGAATGTAAATTTAAATTAAGAAAATAAAGTTGAAACAGAGAGATAAGTAGTGGAGTAATATTTGACGTGAAAACAGATAGTTCAAACTATGTGGAGGACTGAACATATATGCTGTACACTACTTGTTAAAACGTTACTGTTGACTGTCTACATATCCTTGTTTTTCTTTCTCGATGGTGAAAAATATTTCCCTCTTAACAACTACATGATTATAGTACATTATCAGGTGTATATCAATATTACACTTTAATTCTACATATAACATAATAAAAAAATCATACACGACTAGAGAAGAAATTACAGTAGATGTACCTGTGTGTCTGTCCTAATGTTCTACTCTGACTGGGCTAATGAAGAAGGGCATACAGTGTGCTGTGGGGGAAATTTTGCCCTAACAATGGCGCTACAGCCTACTCTTGTATCGAATTCCAACTGCCAAGGGTTCTTTTACACGCACACCCAGGCCCGTAGTCGGGGGGGGGGGGGATGAAATTTCCCCTGAAAAAATGTTTTGAACCCCCCCCCCCCGAAAAAAAGTTGCCAACCATAGCTCTAAAATACCTACTGTAAACAGTGTGCCACCCCCCTCCGCCCCCCCATAAAACCTTCACTGCCCCTCCGCAGCCAGCAAGCTGGCGACAGGCCTGTGCACACCAATGTGTACAACAAAACCTCAGTTTTCATCCCATCTGAGAGTCCCTTGTCAGACCCTCCGTCCTGCAGCACTGACATGGGGAACTATGTCAGAAATTCCTGATGGACTTTCTTGGTCAAAACAAGGATCGAATGCAGAAATCCAGGTAAGTGAGCCACTATCTTACTCACTGATCCACCATGGCTCTGTCTGTCATAGAAGAAAAAATATAAACCTTTATACCAAAAACCAGTGAAAATTCTGGTCTAATTCACAGATAATTACAATTCTTTTGAAATTGCCATCAGAGGAAAATCATCAAGGGTCAAAGATATACATCTAAAACATAAGATCATGCGGACTCATTTATTTGCTTATACATTGCATACATGTAGCTGTATGCGAGTAAGAATTTTACTTCATCTATTTTTTATAATATTCTGTCTTGAATACACAGCCATGTGTATGGTACTTGTGTATTGCACTTGCATATAGATACGGAAGCTACAGTCTGGTAAATTAATGATATTTCTGAACATAAACCGGATTCAAATTTAAAAAATATACTACATAATTCCTTTAGATTCTAGTCCACAGGTAGCAGCATCAGGAACTACGCAGTTCATGCATGTTAATA